GTATATGTATATGTATATGTATATGTATATGTATATGTATATGTATATGTATATGTATATGTATATGTATATGTATATGTATATGTATATGTATATGTATATGTATATGTATATGTATATGTATATGTATATGTATATGTATATGTATATGTATATGTATATGTATATGTATATGTATATGTATATGTATATGTATATGTATATGTATATGTATATGTATATGTATATGTATAGTCTCGCTCGCCCCCCCCCCCCCCCCCCTCGTGGCCAGGCGCGGCGAAAGGCTTAATATTCATGGCATTCCATCACCTATACCTGGCCTCCCGAAGCCTTCCCGTCACTCGGCCACTTAAGGGAAAACGTTCTCTCACTGGCGGCCATAAAAATCCCCTTCGTCCCAGGATTATGACGTGGAAATGTTCACTCCCGCTGGGATTCATTCGCACGCACAGAAACTTTAATTACCACCAGGACTACGAAATTTGAAATCGTTGTTTTTGTCATGGGTCATTTAAAACGTCCGATTAACAGACCAATATGAGTAAGTACGTTTATCTATTTACTGGAAAATATCCCCAAATGCTCTTATGCAGGATTAACTCTTGCTCTTCTTTAAATCATCACCATCATCATTAACATTGTTAGTATCAATAATGTTCCCATTATTTTTATCATTATCATTATATCATCATTATCATTATTTTTATTACCATCATTATCATCGCAGTGATTATTATTATTACTCTCATTATAATTACCAATGTGATTATCATTACGATTACTATTATCTCTAGAATTATCATTGTTTTCCTAATAGCTATAACCAACTTCAATTATTTTCCTCATCACAATTATTACTATCTCTATCATCACACATACATTTTACAGTTCGTTTATCTACTTTCTTTCCAGCCAGCAAGACGCCCGTGCCATCACCAAGCACCAAAGGAAGGAGATAAGCCAATCTTAGCCCTAACTTGGGTCATATTGAGACCTAACTTCTGTTCGGCCCTTATGGCCCCGAGCCGCATGCCCGCCAGCTCATTAAAATGCAATCCGCGTATCTTCTTATCTCCGACACTCTCCCATTTAACACATATCTCTTTATCATTCCCCGCCATCTCCCTCTAGAAGTCCCTCCGTTGCTCTGCCCTCTCCTACATCTCGGGCGAACCTTAAACCCCTCGCACGCAGTAAATAAAAGCGAAGATATATTCTTTAATAACAAGCGCAAGAACTTCTCTTCTGCTCCAAACATCTCCTAGGAAGTTCTTTCTTATGTATTCTCCACGACTGAAAAGTTGAGAAGTTTTCAGTCTCCCGCACACAGTCACAGCCTGAACTAAACTCAATGCCGATACGAGGAAAACTCTTTCATATTAAGATAAAAATCGCTTGGTTACCATGCAGAGTGTTTCTATGGGTGGTAAGGATATTACTTGAGAAGATATGAATTGGTTCATGATTTTACCCCAAGCCCAAAGATAAAAAAAAATTATGTAAGATCTAAAAATACTATAATGCTTATTTTAATAGGAGAGTTCTATACAGTCCCTTGCGACGACGTGAGAATTGCAATATATTGTTCCCTGGAAAATAAAAAAGGCAGTTTTTTTGTGACGACACCACAAAGGCTATACATTTTTTTCTAGTAGAGACAAGCGACGTGCTATAAACCACACCTTTATCGCATTATGGCGACCCTCTCAGATCGGATGATCGCGGGAAATGAAGTGCGTGCTAACACTGATGACCTTGGTGGCCGCCACAATAGAAGGACATTCGCAACACTTGGATTTCTTTCTCTTTTCTCTAGTGTTTGGCTGACTCATTTAATCCCTCATCCTAGGGATTATTTCTTAATAACCTTCTCGTAAAATCACGAACCCTAAATACTGCAATTCTAATACCACCCCCACAATATCCCAATTCGTAAAAGCGACACAAATTAATGATATATTTTAGTTCCCCTTCTTAGCAACAAAAGCCATCATCGGAAGCAGCTTTGCCCTTAAGCCAAAGGAGATACGGATTCCAGAGGGAATTTACGACCGCCGTTCCCATTCCCATATTAGTTATTCGGCCGATCACAATTTTCCTCGCCGTGATCTCTTTCCTCGCGGGCTGGAGTGGGAGGCCAAATGTTTGCTTCGCTCTCACGCAAGACGGAGGCCGCTAATCAACCACTCCTTATTGTGCTTCTCGGGGATTACTTCTTCGCTCGTTCGGAAACTGGCTCGTTGGATTTCTTTTTTCTTTTTATTTTTAGTGCTAGAATTAATGAGCTGCGATATAAAGGGTGATAGTAATTGGCATTACGGTGTTTGTGTTATTAGGAAAGACTTATTTTAAATATCAGAGAAAACATCCAGTTCTGGAAGTGCCTCTTCAGATTGCCGGTGAGATGAAAAGCAACAATATAAAGATCAAAGACGGAACAAACAAACGAACACTAATTATCACCATTTTCGCGCCATTTTTCCCCCTGACAAATTCACAA